GTTTTACATAAACCCTAATCCCAACCCTAACCCTAACCCTAACCATAACCCCGAAGCTAACCATAACCCTTACCACAACCCTAACCCTAACCCGGGCCCTAAACAATCGAATTCGTATTTTACTAGCCTGTCACGTGACCAAAACGGTTTTTTGCCCATAACTCTCCAGGGAAGCATTTTAACCCTACGTCATGGGGGGTGATTCGGAATCAGCGTTCAAAAATGCACCGATCTAGATTACTTTCATGCCCAACGGGTCTTTTCACAAGAATTTTCTTAAAATTTGGGCGAGCGATTTAGTAGGAGCGGTGAGTTATTTTATATTAATTACATTTACATTAATTGCAGCGTCGCAAAAAATTGTTAATTTTGCTTATGTGTTATAAAATTAAATTGTGATTCACGGTAAAACTATTTTATCAATTTTTATAAGTTCTTGCTCGGTTGCTCTATCCAAAGCCCTTGCGGCCTTGCGTTTGCTGTGGCGCGCCCCCGGCCGCAGTGGCGCGAAAGCACACGCAATATGGTTAGGTGATTTTAAGTTCTACTACATACTAACTTATAATTTACCATGTCGTAGATTGTTGATTGACGATGTAAATTTGACGGATGTTACTCGTTTAAATTTTTTTGAAGTAGCGCGCGCCGCTTTCTTCTCGAAATGGCACGAGCTACGAAGTAGCGCGCGCCGGGCCAGATCATTAATGATTAACAATGATCAAATGTCAATTCATCGCAGCTCGGCGCGGCACAGTAGCGCATCTCGTTGGAGGACTTCGCCGCTTCGACGCGCCGCGCAAACTAGCATTCTTGCTTCGCATCGTCGTCGTCGTCGTCTTCGTCGTCGTCGTCGTCGTCGTCGTCGTCGATCTTTGCTCGAGTCGTTTCTCGCAGAGCAACGATCTCGACGGGTTGACATCGTCAATCAACGCATCCCGCCGATCTAGCGAGGGTGAGTACTGGTCCTGAACGACTATTCGAAACCTTAACCCTCTAATCTGATCCCAAGCCTAACCCTAACCCAATCCTTAACAAAAGCATATGCTGAAACCATAACCCTAACTAGATATTAGACTAACTTCCTTATACGGTCATATCACGTGATCGAAACAGTTTTTCGCAATATCTCGTCAGGGGAACATTTTAACCCTATGTCATGGGGGTGATTCGGAATCAGCGTCCGAAAATACATCGAATGGAGTTGGTTTTAACTGTCGGGGGCCCTTTTAGAACAATCTCGAAGATCGACTGTAGAGTGATTTAGCACGCTCGATGGTATACCACGATTGACAATTCCCGGCCACATTTTGTTGCAAAAACCGAGCACTTTCTTGTCGACCCGAATATTGACTCAATTATATATTCAATATTTTTTTTGAAGGTGAATATAGAAAAATATGTCAAACAGTATATATACATTCAATTAAATCAAGTGATGCAATTGGCAGAGCACAATCAAATTCTTATTGATGCAATTGACAGAGCACAATACATACCAATAATTTTTTTAAACATTTTTTTGTTGTCCTGTTTGATAAGCAATTGGGGTGTGAAACCCTTATGTCAAGAAAGGTCTTATCAAATGGAGTCCAAACTCCTCTAGCAGATACGTCAAGCCGAGCTTGGTCACCTGTTATAGTCTTGGGGTTGAGGCAGTCACCCTCATTTACCTTCTGTAGCTGGGGTTCAACTTTCACATCATGACATACCTCACGATGGAGATTTGCCATTGTGTCTCTGATGTTGCTTGTTATGGGTCATTATCACGTAGCCCCCTAGCTTACAGGTGAGAAGGTGGTCAAGATCACTTGTTTTCCCACATCCACAGGTGACGGTAGTGTTTGGTATCCACCAGCTGTAGCGTAAGCAGACACTGTCATGAAACTCCTCTTTGTTCAGAGTGTAGCCATACTGTTAAATAGCAATGTGTTAAGCCAACTGGACGCTCCCTTTTCTCTTGCTGCTAGTAGTGCTCTCTTAGAGGAGGTGCCACATCTTTCAGCTATAGCATTAAACTTGGCTTGGAGCTCGGAATTCTTCAATGTTTTGATCATTTCTTTCCCCGATTTGGTGAGGTTACTGGATGCAGTGTAAACTTCCTGTTGGTCCACAATTGCTTTTGTTAGCTCAGTGGTGAGTAGCTTGGAGGCTGTGTACTCAGAGTGGCATTCTTCGTGGGGTTTACCAATGCCCAATCCTCCCAATCTTATTGGTAGACTTAACACGTCTCTTTCTAAGTCTGAAATCTCCCTGCCCAGCATCTTTGGCAGAAGCTTTTGTCTTATCTCATGTTCTAGACTCTAGAGGCTCCATGGCTTCAGAGATGTGGGGCACAGTACTTTGAACAAGCTTCCATCTGTGTTGGATGCCAGAGATGTAGGCTAAGTAGGCTGCTTGAAGCTCAGATTCTGCAATATCAGCTAGTATCTTGCTTATTCTATATTGCACGAGAAATTAGAGATTACGATGTTATCTTACAATCAACTTTGTTGAAATCTGTTTTAAACAAAAATTGGTATGAAGTTGGTTACTCTCTACCCTTTATATAGTTCATGTTTAATCTGGACGGCATTCTGGCAACATATTTCTGTTAGATACTGTATTCGCACAAGGTGTTTCTTAGATTTCGAGATTCGAAGACATTCTTTTTAATAAAATTATAAAATTGCACATAACCCCTTCAACTCTAGTTGTGATAACGTTATCATGGGAAAGCAATATTTCTGTGATTACTGTTTAAAGGGTTTTCCAGACAACAGAAGTTCTAGAGAGAAGCATCTGAGAAGCAATCAACATAAACTTGCTTATAAAGATTATTACACCTTGTGCACAGATCCTTTAACAATGCACTGTTTAATGCCAAAAAATGTAAGGAACATAATATCATACAAATGCTTAATTTTTATTATAAGTTTTATTGTTTTCTAGGAAACGAGTCTGATGAATGAGCGTTGTAAGAAGTACAGTTTTGGTCTGGATTGATTTGGGCTTCGGATGAAGTTTGAAGTATTCAGTTCAATTATATGTTTTAAAGTGTTAAACAGTGAAATCTCTAAAACATGACCATCAATATCATTTAGCTTTATTTAAGATTCTTAATTACACCAGTGGACTCAATTGAAGTCTTAAATAGGCATTTATTCATCCAATCATGATCTCTGAATTACAGCAATTAAATCCTTACTGTATGTTCTTACAAAATAAAAAGTCACTAATTTTATCACTTTGAAATATAGAATTTCTAAAGATGCCATGGCCATTTGATGATGACGACAATGATCCTTTCAAGATGGGGGATCGTCTCAGCAAATTTGACAAAGAGTTTGAAAACATGTTTAAAATGCTTGATGGTTTACACCAAGATCCATTTCATAAAAGAAAAGAACATATAAACAGCAGTCAGCACTCAAAAGTACCTGATATCAATAACAACCCAAGAAGTTATTTTTTGCATGATCCCCGCCATTGCAATGAACGTAGGACTCACCCAGTAAATCGATCAACACCAAAGTCCAGCTTACTCGACACTGAAGTCAACATTGGTAATGATTATGGTGCTTTACTGGGGAAGGAAGATAAGCAGTCATCAGCCCCATTTTCACCTAATACAGGAGAATCAATTGCCACTACTTGGACCTTCAGAAATGGGAAAATGTGTAAACAGGAACGGAGGGAACAGACCAGTGGAAGACAGCGTAGGGTTTCAATAACATCCACTGATGAGAATGGAAACACAACCACAAATGAATACACTGAGGACATTTGACTAAGCTCCAATACAAAATTCATCCTATGATCAGCTTAAAATAAGACTAATCTATTTATATTTTGTTGGTGAAAAGTATATGGTTACTTGTCTTGTACAGAACTTGAATATTAATCTGGACCAAAACATATTATATGACAAATAGATGTATGAAACCTTTTATTTGATACAGTTTCAAACATTGTTTCATTTCAGTTTCAAAGTATCATGTCAGCCTATTCATATGTCTGATAAGATATCAATGGATGTCAATAATACAGAATAAACATTTCAATATATCAATGTAAGTCTTCCTAATTTCACATTTACTTGTTTCAGGGGGAAATCTGCAAGAATTACGAGAAATTAGGAAAGTGTGACTTTGGAGACTCTTGCAAATATTCACATTTCAACAGTAACTCAATGAAAAAACGTAAGCATGAAATATTTTGCTAATATGTGGCTAAGATTTTGCAGCATGCCCTTATTCAAAATTTTCTAACATAAACCATTTTTTGAATGCTTTACAAATTTGTATGAACTTTATTTTACAAATATTTTTATAACAATGAATTGATACCTTTCTTTTAAACAATATTTTCTTCCTAGTAAGAGCCGATAAGATACTAGAGCTAGAATCAAAATCAATTGAGGAATGGACCGGCTTTTGTTCTGAAAAACGCAAAAGAGGTCTGGATTTCCCACCATCATCATCAGAAACACAGAAACTGAAAAAGGTTACAAAGCAGATCACCCAAAATCTGCCCCCCTCTATGCAACCTATCTTGATTCCCGAACTTAGTGCCTGCCTACCAGATATTGACTGGGGATAGGGGTGATAAGGGTGTTTTTTTAATACTAATGTTAATTTTTATTTATTTAATTTAAATATTAGATGACAGAAACATATTTACAATTTGTTGTAATCAAAGATATTTATAGCCAAGAACTCCTTGACCTTATGCTGATAAACATGATATGTTCGAGTTGCTGTCACACTTTTAGTGTTGAACAATTTCATTATATTTTACATACTCTTATTATAATACAAAACTTAACGTCTTAAAGTGTGTATTGTTGCTCATTCAAGACTTATAAACATTGTTACCAGCATCATAATAAACATATCTTATTACCACATGACATATTATCTATTGTACAGACTAAAGTTATGTAACAAAATATTTACTGACTCTAAGATCAATACGAAATTAATATTACTCATTGACGCTTATTTCAATGTCACATTAGTTCGAAACATGTTGAAGTGTGCAGTGGGCATGGCTGCTATCCAGCGCTTGAAGGATGTTTTGGATATCTTAGCTGGGGATGAGGTCACTAAAGGACCAGCCAAACACACTATGACTCAATCTGTAATCGCGGTTTCTGCCACTCTGCTGGGTGCTATTGTAGGTTAGTCTAATTCAATTTAATAATTACAGTAGAAAAACTGAGTCACTGCTCGGAACAGTACTTCAACTTTATTCAAAAATTCTAGCTCTAAGATAATAAGATACTGTTATTCAGGCGGGAGAGCCGGAGGACTTGTGGGGGGTTTGGTTGGTGCTGCTGCTGGAGCGTTAACCCTCCCTGAATACCGTCCTCTTGCTAAATGTGTCACCGGGGACAGTAAAGTAGCTATCGCTACGATTGTGAGCGACATCGGACTGGTCGCGTTCAGAGAGCTCGTCAAAAATGGTCCAGGTCTTCTTAAATGGATGCAGAGTGTGGTTGTTAAGAAATGAACAACAGAATGTGAGGTTTCATGACCGAAAATCGTTAGATTATCATGAGCTGTTATATTTTGTTTAGAAGAGATACGATAATAATTTGTTAATTTTTCAATTAAACAAGATTTTTTTTTCAGTGAATAGGAACAATAAATTTAATTTTTAGTTTCTGTTCGACTGAGTTCTGCATCAGAGCAGTGCAAAGACGAAAAATACATGCCAAAATTTGAAATCAGTCATTTAGATGGTGTCGATCGATTTGTTATCATTGCCACGATGTAGTGAGCATGAGCAGGGCTGTCAACTGTAAGATAGTGAGCATGAGCAGGGCTGTCCACTGTAAGATATTAAACAAATTATTTTAAATTATTTCATTATCAAGATCAGATTGTAATCCGAAAAATCTTGTACAGTTAGTGAATTTTATATATTTTTCAATGATTAATTCGAAATTTATTTATTATTCCAGTAAGACCTTTTATGTTTGTTACTAATTGTAGTTCATTATACTTATAGCTGTTTTTAACTCTATTTTGCCCTAATTCACTCTTGTATAAAATATCTTAGATTTATCAGATTGCTGCAACAAGTAGTCCTGATGTTACATCTCATATTCAATCAACTTTAAAGAACAATAATTTTCACATAATAATAATATTGCATAATCCTACCGTTAATAATACTCACAAGTTTGCTGAAACAATTTTCACGCTCTAGTACAGCCAACATGGCCATGGTAGTTACTGCCACTCAGTACTTGAAGAGTGTTATTGACATTTTGATGGAGTACGAGGAAACACAAGATAGTACGAAATGGACGGTAACTCAGACATTGATAGTGGGTGGCAGTGCATTGGTTGGGGCTTTGATAGGTGAGTGTAATCATGTTATGATGGGTTTAGTAACCAGAAAAAAAATAATCGTGATGTTATTAGTTGACATTTTGTCTATAATTCCATGCTATTCATACCCTAATTTCATCGTTCGATTTAGAATTTCAGCTTATATAATAAAATACAATATTTTTCTTAAAGTGAAGAATCTGTAATAGAGAATGAAAAATAAGTCTCATACTCTAAGCTTGAAAGTGTACTAAGTTGTCGAGGGAGAAGCAGAGGAAGTATTGCCCTGATCTTTGTTTCCAGGAAGTTTTTGGATCCTTCTCTAGTTCAAATCTACCTAAAAGTTCACACAGCATACACTTTAGTTCCAGTATAGCGAAGTCTTTCCCCATACATTGCCGGGGTCCTTTTAAGAAGGGCATATTATATGTGTAAGGCAAAATCACTTGACATCAGTCCGGAACCCCGTCATAAATTTGGTGTCGTGCGGCGTGCCCTAGTTTGCTGGTCTACTGCTAAGTGCTATCTCAAAATCAAGTTTCACCAAAAAAATCAGGGTGATTAGATAACCCACAAATTTTGGGTAAAAGTTTTGTAGCAAGATAGGCCTCTCTACAGCCCTCCGTGATCCTCTCGACTGCTCTGAATTATAACCACTACTCAAACAGCTTTGTACTATCACTATTAGTGGGCATTATTATTAAATAGATCAATCTCCAAATTTGTAGGTGTTTCTGGACACCTAGTTGGTCATTAAATATTAATCATCAATGGATAAATTTGTATATTGATCGTGAACTGTTAGATGCAATAATAAAACCGCTGTATATTTATTAAACTCTGATTTATGCACCAAAAAAGGATCAACAGTATGTAACATAATAAATTTAATTTACATAAAAATACGCAGCAAACAATAAGCTCTCAAAGTCTAGGCTTGAAAATAAAAGAGTTGTCAATAGGGACACAGATGAGGACTTGGGCTGATCTTTGTTTCGGTGGAGCATTCGGATCCAACTCAACTGTAAATCTACTTAAAAGTTCGCACAAGAAACACTTTAGTTCCAGAATAGCAAAGTCCTTGCCTGTACATGCCCGGGGTCCCAAGAAGAAGGGAACGTAGGTATAGGGTTTTGGAGTTGATGTCAGGAACCGGTCTGGTTCAAACTTTTCGGGATCATCCCAAAATTTGTCCCAGAGATGCATAACGTGCTGACTGCCCATCAGCTGAAAACATTGTTATATTGTTTTTAAATTGAAGATTATTATATCTGAGAATTCACAGATTTTTTCAAGATGATTGAAAAGAAAAGCAAAAAAAACATACACTGGTCATAGCAGGAATACGGAAGCCACAAAGGTTGACTGTTTTTAAAGCTGTTCTGTGAATGCGGGTTATTGGGGAGTGGTGCCGTAAAACTTCCTTAAGAAAAGCCCCAAGATACGGCATATCTTTGTGAGTCTCTTCTATCAGTTTGGGATTTGAGTATCTGTCTACACCAGCTGCTCCCCAAACTTCGTCTATCTGTTTAATAGTATTTTAGTTAGGTCATTATACCCCAGAGTAAAAGGTCATTTTGAAACTGTTTTCTAAACTGTTTCCTAAATAGCACTCCACAAGGCGGGGAGTTACATTTCCGTTGTCATAATTCGAGAGATGATAAAGTTTTGACAAGTTTTTCACAAAAACCTCATCAACCAGTTTGTCCATAACACCAGGATTTCTTGTAAGCTGTCCCAAACACCAAAGTAGTGTTGTACTGGTGGTAGCGTTACCGGCTGCATACATTGTCATGAAATCGTCCAAACCTTCTTCCATGTCAAACCTACCACTGTTATCATCCGTATTGGCACCTGAGCAATGAGCATGTTTATAAAAAACGCTTTTCTTATCCAGAAATAAATTCCATATTATTCCATACCAGCTGGATCCAAGGTTGTTTAATTCTGGGCTTTTGAAGATATTCCCGGTTCACTCAAGGCTTACTGGGATAGTTTAAAGATTACTCACTAATAATGTAGTCAAGAATATCCCCAACACGACCATGTTTTTCGCCAGAAGTCCTTTCCATTATCATCTGAGCTCCAAGTTTTCTGATACGTTTGATACCGTCAGCATATTTAACAAAAATCTTTCTTGTTTTAGAATCAAGCACCTGGGAGTTAAGTGGTGATTGTTCAAATCTGGTCATTTAAAAAGGCTGTTTTTTAAAACCCTTTTATAAGATTCAGTCACGTTCCCTTGTCCGAGAGCTAAACAGAAAGGAGTGTTATATATGCACAAACTTATAATACCATAGCAAGAACGCTTCCAGCTTTGGACATGAGCTGGGTGGTTAAGTCAAAAGCATCATCCCCTCCTTGGTCTCGCAACCTCTCCATTTCATCGTCTGTAGCACTAAATCCTGCTCTGCTGATAGCATCTGCAGTTTATAGGTTCATCAGGGACTCTTAATTTATAAGTACTTAACATAAATGTTTTAAAAAGTAGAAATTTGAACAAAATAATTGAGATAAAAATGCAAATAATCAAAGAACATGACACTGACCAATACTGGCGGGTCCTACAATGCTCGTCACGTCAATTGGTTCACCCGGGGTTTCCTCTTGTTTTGCTTCGATATTATCGCACAAATCAATACCTATGTTGTAAAACTCAGTCAGGTGTCTCGCTAGACCCGATTTACTGAATGCTGGATCCATAATCCTCCTGTTTGTATTAACTTGTTATTAACCTAACTTTAAAAAGTATCATAATTCAATGAAAAGGACCTAAATTCCTAGTGTTACCAAGCATAAAAATGTAAAGTTTAACATACTTCTTCCGTCTCCATATATCCATATCAACAGTAGTTAAAAGACTGTTATGTCCACAGAACCGTTGTGTGTACATTTTCTGTAGATCTAGTGTTACCCATCTCCTGTCGATTGAAAAATGTCACAAGCTGATGATTGGAAATCATTTCAAAATTTTCATTGACTTCGAGCTTTGGTTTCGCTTATTATTGCTTGGTGCAGGCTGGAAAAGTAACAAAAAATGAAGACATTGGAAACTCACCGAGCTATAAAGCCTTTACCATCGCGGATTTTAGGGTATGTCTTGAAGTCACTGACCATTTCTTTTAGGGATAGCGGGTCTGCAACAAATACTATAGGCTTCATCACCATCCAAAACCGGAATATGATACCATGTTCACGGACCATATCCAGCCAGAAAGGCCCCCATGAACCATCAGCTAACAGTCGTCTGTTGGAGGTTACAATGAACGTTAGAGTATGATTAAGTAGAAACGGGCTAGGTTTACTGTTTACTAAACCTAGCTTGGTGATCTGAGACCCGAACTCTGGTTTGAAAATGTTTTTAATTTACTTTGAAATGATTTATAATTTACCTTCTGAATTCCGGAGCATTTCCTAAGAAGAAGCTTTCTCTTGGTGGGCCGGGCAAGTGAGAGTATCTCCTGGGAGTTATAAAATCTTTGTTAATGATTCATTTCTGGGTTCATTATTTCACTAGTTAATCGTCATTAGTAAATTTAGCAACTAGGTCCAATCTGACCAACATAACAAAGAAATCAACCATCCACATTTTTTCTGAAAATCAGTTAAGTGTTCAAAAATATTGAAATGATTTACCAGTGATCATATTTTATATTAGCAACTTTGTATACTAGCCAAAGAACGACTAAGATACCGATAACTTCCAGCAACATCGTACTCCAAACTTAACTTAGCCACTATAATAATGTTGGTATTCAAATTAAAGTTATTTAAAATATTTAAAGTAATTTGTACAACTGGCAAGTCTCCAATAAATATACTGTTGTATTGCTGTCTCAAATCATTCCCAATAAACGAATTTACAAAACATATTGGCGGCTATTCCAATTTCCATTTTGACGGTTACTCCATTTTGATACTCAAACAATACAGAAAGCAAAGTGGCAGTTCTGCCAGAGATTCACTTGGGGAAGGTAGCTGCAGTTTCCGTTCCCTTCCCCCTAAATTCAAGTCACCTGACGAATGCCTGCTATCTTGTTCACGCTCATATTACAATTATCAAAGAAAAGAGATAAAAGAGTCACGCAACATCACTGAAACAAAAACCAACAAACGTCTTATTGTGTGTGTGAAATAGGACTACAGCTGCTGTGGGTGGAATTCTTAGAATTATAAGTGTCCTAAGCTATGATTCAATTACCGTCCCACTACCGAGACCTATATATTTTTGCATTTTACAAAGATATAGATCAGATTACACCGTATCATATACTCTGGCATGAAGCCATATAATTATAGGAAGATACCGTAGAGCACAGAGGGTTCATTCTTACCACATCATTTAAAACGTCCCGCCGTGCTCTCCCTGCAAACCACCAGCTGGTCATCAGTGCACGATAAGCTAACGATAAGTTAACACACCACGTGACATGTTATATACCGTATACTTACTTAGGGTCAAAGATCAGATAAAGTGCTTTAGTTCCAACCATCAAGTTAGAATAGAGACTGCATAACATACAATACAAGAACAAAGACTGTGTTATGTTATTGATTACATAGTGCATTGTGTACCGTCTATGTAGGGTCAGGGTCTTAAGGCACTGCAAATATAATACAATATTTTTAACAATGTGCGACCTTGTTCCTGGAGTAGTTAGCTAGAGTGTATGAAGTGTATCGACCTTCCGGGTTGATGTGTTTCTCCTTTAAAAGGCCTCATGTAGCCGGTGGGCCCGACATGATACGACATATCTCGACACGTCGGGGTTTGTCGGGATATGTCGGGGTTTGTCGGGATATTTCGGGGTTTGTCGGGGTTTGTCGAGCCTGGAGGCTACATGGGGCCTTTTAAAACAGCGAGTGGGACGCAGGGGGCTTCACTTGTACTCTTGAAGTAAATCTAGATGTAAGCTGTTGATTGTGGCCACATGTAAAATCTAATAAGAAACCCTAAATTCTCACCAAAAACCTATTTGTCTGATTGTGTTAAGTTTATCATTTGTCACAGGAGGTAGAACAGGAGGAGCAATGGGAGGAGCAGTAGGAGCTCTGTTAGGAGTAGTTGCTGTACCCGATTACAAGCCTCTGGTTCAGTGTCTCCAGGAGATGGACGACGATCAGAAAGAAGATATCGCCAGGAAGATTAGGACCAGGGTCGGGAATCCGGCTACCATGGCCTTGAAGGAGTTTGTGCGAAATGCGCCTCAAAACATAGAGTGGATCAAACAACAATTTGAAATTCAGTAATCTTGACTAGATGATTTTTCACTGTTTTATTTTTATTTGATTTTTGTGAATTTTAGAAGATTTTAACCCTTTATGCGTTTTATAACTTGTGGATTTACTGGTTCCGAACACTCAATGTTTACACTTTGCAACTACATGTATTATTTGAAGAGGACTTGCATGTATATGTCTAGATTTGCTGTAACACGGAAAAAGTGTTGGGTGTTTGACAAATTACACGCAACCTTGAGTGATAAGTTCACATTAGCGGCATTGTTGTGTAGTTTTCTTTGGGTTTTAGTATCGTTCGAGTGGTTTGAACCTTTTTGATCAGGATTTTGATTATTGTTTTTATTTTGGTATCAGGTATGCCCTTTTTTCACAACCAAATTAATGCAATAATTATTCGTATCGATCTGTCAAGCATTTTCTATACTCGTACTTATTTAAGTTCAGATTTAATTTTTAATTTCAAAATAAATTTATTTATTGTGTGTCTGCAAAAAATTGGTTTTGTAATTTGTATGTTGCATATCTTGAAATTTATATCGATCGTTTCGTTCTTCGCCGTTTTCTGAAACCAAACTTGATTTCAGTTACAGTATGAACTATAAAGTTTTTGTAGATCTTAACTAGTAAAAATAATGCATTATTTTGTTGACTAAAATTCAAATTTTATCCAACTGTACAATCTACCCATGATTTGCCTCTGATTTACCTCTGATTTACCCATGATTTACCTCTGATTTACCTCTGATTTACCCAGTCAGATATCACCATGTCAAATACACCAGTCCTCCACTCCTACTTTAGAAGTTCCTGTAGTTGGAGAGTCCGAGTAGCTCTGGCTCTTAAACAGATTCAATATAAACAGGTTTTATGAAGTTCGTGATCGTGGTTGCAGGTTTTATCTGAATGAAGATTCTGAATTTCTGAATTTGTGTCTCTTATCTAGCCTACCCTTCTTAGTTAATTTCTTAGTAAAGATTACACAGATTTGTATCTAAAAAGATGCTCTGTCCCAGCTCTTCCTCATCAGTGGTAGATATTTTCGTCACTGTTTTATTTCTCTCATCTAATTTCTTCATTATCCTCAGAAAGGAGTACACTTGCTTAATAATGGCGGTGAGCAACACTCTGACGAGTACAAATCTGTCAACCCCATGGAACAGGTACCTTTTCAATGAAATGTTGTAAATTACGCCGAGGTTAGGTTTGGCTGGGAAGACAAATTTTATGTTAGTAACTCGGCTAATATTAAATATTCTATATTGAATGTACTTTGTTCAGGTTCCAACACTAATGATTGACGGTGTATCGCTGACCCAATCATTACCAATAATAGAATACCTTGAAGAGACGAGACCAGATATTTACCCGCTTCTCCCTGGTGACCCCAAGGATAGGGTCCGAGGTAGTTTTCATGTATACTTTTTTGCTATTTGATGAAAACTGTATACAAGTACGATCATAAATAACAAGAAGAATGTTGTAGAAATTGCTTGTTAAGTTTATTATCTTAATCATTGTAATTATACCGAATATGTTTCACCGACATTGCATTATCCCCATAAGGATGTAAAACCAATAACCCTTAGATAAATATCTAAAAATATTTGTTGCAGTGCGGCAGATAGCGGAAATAATAAACAGTGGCATTCAGCCAGTGCAGAACCTGTCTATACTACAAGCTGTGGGCCCTGAACGTAAGATGCAGTGGGGACATGATGCTATACACAAAGGTACCTCCTACATTCTACAATTTATATTTATTATCATCTTCTAATTAATGATCTGTATCAATGAATTTAATTTGATTTAACCCTAGATTTTTTATTAATTGATAATGTGATACATACACCCATACTAATACTCTACTGCAATTAATTAGCTTCGTGGATACGACAATTAATAGTATAAGATAGGGCTCCTGCATCATGACTACTACTGATGAAGTGCCTTTTTTTCTTCCTATCACTTTGCCGAGGCTTAAAGACCAGTACGGAGTCAGATTTGTATAAACAATGAACTGGCTACGGAGTGTACATTTTCGTCTTCTACATAATATTTTGTTGTCTGGACGGTAAAGAGCTAACATCAATTCAAGAACTTCAAGTACCAATTTTGAATGTTAGTATTAAATATAACACACATATTTATATCATGCTATCATTGGAAACTATAAGAGTATAACGTAAAAAGTAAACTTACGAAACAGGCAACACTGTAACGATATACCCTGATTTATTACATGCATTACGTCAGAGAACAACAATGCTGCCCAACAAAAGTGAACTACTATCCTACTACTAAAGTAGGGGGGGTCCAAGGGGAACTTTGGGAAAGTCCCCCAAGATTTCTGAAGTTCCCCAAAAAAAAGTTCCCCAAAACTCCCCAAAGTTCCCCAAAATTCCCCAAAATTATTCAAAATTATTCAAAATTATTCAAAATTATTCAAAATTTCTCTAATATACATTAATACCCATTAATGTTAACATGTATGTTATTATAAGGTATAATCTTAACTTACTTGTTGATACTTGCAGCATGATAATTTTTTTGGCATGATGATTTTTTTGGGGAATTTTGGGGAACTTTCTGAAGTTCCCCAAAAAAAAGTTCCCCAAAATTCCCCAAAATTATTTGTTTCATTGATCATTTTTTGGGGAAGTTTGGGAAAGTCCCCCAGGTTTCCTGAAGTTCCCCAAAAAAAAGTTCCCCAAAACTCCCCAAAGTTCCCCTTGGACCCCCCCCCCCCCCCCCCCTAAAGTACAAGTACAAGTACAAAAGTACAACTACTCTACTACTGTGACTGTGCCGGAATAGTTCATTATACTAATAACACTGTGTATCACACACTGTGTATCAGTGTATGTGATATCTACATGCAGCAGCTCTTATTAATACGTCTGTAGTGATTATCCAGGTATTATAGGGTCTACCGTTAAAGTTTCACTGATTTCGAGGGTGGGTAAATTGATCGTGCGTGATGACCATAATTATAACTGCAAGTTCTACAAAAATGCACAAAAATATTGGCAATTCATAAGCAACTATTATTTAAGATAATGCATTTCCTTAAGATTTTAAAAGAATGTCTTACGTGATTACCTAACACTTCCACAGTGCACTACTCTCTGAAATGATTACTCCACATGGAAATGGTGAATTTACGTAATGACACCGTGATAGTCCCAAGTAATGATATGACACCGTGATAGTCCCAAGTAATGATATGACACCGTGATAGTCCCAGGTGACACCGTGATAGTCCCAAGTAATGATATGACACCGTGATAGTCCCAAGTAATGATATGACACCGTGATAGCCCCAAGTCGACGCCTCTTATTGAGGAGTTAATGTCTTAACTCTGCCAAATGGGTCGATCGCTATATAGATTTGTCTCCCTAAGTCTATCTAGTTACTTCGTCCTTTTGCCCCTAAGGCTAAGTAAGCGTATAACCGCAACTCCTCGGGCTTGAGGGCTTTCCCTGATTATACTTACTTCAGGTTTTGTAGCAATAGAGGATCTGCTGAAGAGCTACAGCTCAGGAAAATACTGCATCGGAGATAAGGTCACAATCGCAGACATCTGTCTGGTTCCTCAAGTATACAACGCAACACGCTTCAAAGTTGACATGAAACTGTTCCCCACCATTGCGCGCATCAACGCTGCGCTCGAAGAACTGCCAGAGTTCCAAAAAGCGCATTTTACTAATCAGCCTGACACACCAGAGGAGCTGAAGAAGTCTTAGCTTTTAGGGCGCTTAATTAATTTTATATGATTTATTGTTATTTTATTATTGATATTTATATTCGCCCTATTTTTTGCTAGGCTGTTCAGTAATTTATTGAGAACGAAGATGTAATTTCAAGTAATGTGTTGTTTTAGTGCTTTAGTAAAGGGGACTACGCAAGTATATGAACCGATTTAAATATGAATTTTCGTTTGTGAGTATTATATGACATGTTAATATTTTATGTATCTACTTATTCAATATCATGCATTTACAAGAAACCCAAGATAACACTTTATTTATTCAATACCTCAAATTCTCGCTGATAAAGCACAAACACATGTATCAGAATATAATAGATCTAACACCTGACGCTAATTAAATTAATGTTTACTATTATTGTGTATAGCTGTGATGTATCTGTGTCTGTTGTTTATTCTACCCCTCTACCGTTACTCTAGCACCATGTCTTTCATTGACGTTGCTGAGGACTCTGACTTCTCCTACCAGAACCTTCCTTATGGTATATTCTCAACCCCATCAAACGTGAGTGTTAAACCTTCTCTATCCAACTGTTAATCAAACATTAGTTTACTCACGCCATCTAAAGGTGGCTGATTTAAACCTCAGATTTGTCAAAGTTAACATTGTAATAGAACTCTAGAAACGAATGGACGGACTATGATCTTATTCAGGCGACTCCACGTATTGGAGTAGCTATTGGAGACTGGGTGTTGGACGTGGCAGCAGTTAAACACCTCTTCAGTCCTGAACTTGTTGAGCAATGTATTGAAGGACAGGTAATAATACTCTTTTGTATTTTTGGTGGCTCTAAACATCACTTTTAATTATATTCAAATATTTTTGAGGTTATTATTCGGGAATGCGTGATTTTCTGATGGATTCCAGCGAAACTGACAATATTTTTGAAGTAACTTTTAAATAATAGATCTGTCCTTCCTGAAAGTCTAAAATAGGTAAAGTAATATGAAAGTTTAACTATCTGACCCCTCCTTCAGACGACACTGAACGCCCTGATGGGAGCAGGTCGTCCAGCATGGACTGAGTTCAGGAACACCCTCAAGAAGATCCTGTCTAAAGACGAGTCAGCTCTGCAAAACAACGCAGGGTTGAGGTCTGGTGCTCTTATTGCTGCGAAGGAGGTCACGATGCACATGCCTGCTACTATAGGTGTGTGGAGAACCGGAGATGATATTTGTTCTACATTATATAATATCTATATTATATTGTGTTGCATACTTGATGCTGTTCGTATATCCGCACACAATAAAAATAAGATTTCAGTATCGCTGATAAGCATTAAGCACACAACTGATAAAGTAGCGATTAAATTGTAAGGTAAATGAAAATATTATACACTGTTCATATAACTGTCTGGAAAACTACATCCTTGGAGGATATATTGAACAACTAATACAACTACAGGAAATATTTAATGCAATAGAAGGAAAATACAAATAAACAAATCACAAAAATAAACTTTAAAACTTACTGATTGAAATCAACAAATTGTCATTCAAAATTACATAATATGAAGACGCTAAGACGAGTACATTACCCTAAACAGGTTGAAGGAATATTGATTTGTTTAGATTTATAAAACTATTAGAGGTCACCGTCAGACCTTATTTCTCCATTACAGTCTTTGTTGACTACTCGGGGGGGGGGGGGCCTACTCTCATCCATGTTGCTGGTATTTGCTTGCGTCTCTCTGCCACCACCTCCTGAAAAGAAATATCATAAGATAGCGTTGCAATAGAATTAATTAATTTATTTAATAATAATATGATGAATACTCTGTACAGATCATGTAGAATTAAGGACAAGGAAAATTTCCAGTTTGGTTACATTAACCTCAGTTATTGCCTCACCAAGATTAGTAGAAGTTGTAGTGTCTGTGAAGAAGAACGGTCAAATTCTTGACCGAATGAAATCTCTAAAGCTTGACAATGTAAAAATATAGATGTAGAAATTGCTCATGGTATTGAGGTACAGGAATGAAACCGCTAGCCTATAGAAGTGCTGATCGACAAAACTATCACTATTAACATGTGCACTGCCCGTTGAATTTGCGATGATGTTGTAGACAGTGAATGGCATGACAGAAATGCAGTAAATTATTGCTGTAAGAACTGTTGCCATGATGCCTTGCCACTTCATATTTTTTCGTCCCAAACGAGCAATTTCTTTAGCCATGACCAGCAGATAAATCGTAGTAATAACAACCAAACAGTTTGGTATGATCACAAATGTGACTGTTGCCAAGGGCCCTAGCTAACGCCAGATTTTTAGTGAAAAATCATAATCGCATGTGTAGCCTCTGTATGAAAAGTAAACTCCCTCAAAATCTCCGTCTTCAACAAAGGCCACGACAGGGATGGTCAGAGGTACGAACCAACATGCCCCATAAACAAGATGTGCAGCCCTCAATGTCCAGGTAGCGGATCGGAAGGGATACTTGAGGAGAAGTAGCTTGGTAGAAGTCATAGCACATATAAGTAACATGATCGTCACGTTGAGGTAGTACCTGGCACGATGAGAAAGGGCACAAAGGAAGCGACCAAACACCCATTTATCAGCAATAAGGGAGATTGACCTTGGTAGTAGGACTATAACCGAAATCATCAAGCCACAGACACCGATGTGTCGGATGATGGCTGTGAGGATCTTGTGAAGTCGGATGGCTCTATACTTGATGGAGGCGATCAAAATGATTGTGTCTCCGACAAGAGATGAAATGAAAACCAATAAGAAATATCCTGACCATCCATATCTCACCACATCACTGTTAATGCCGTGCTGAGTTCTGTTGTCGTAATTGTGATCAAGACTGGCCATTTTACTGCGGCTTTTCAGGAATACAAAATGTTAGATACAGCAATACAGCAAAAAATATTACACATAATATAATTAAGCCTCATTTGGGGGAAGGAAATGGCCACAGTAAATCGGGGTTTCTGATAAATCAGAGAGGGATAAATCAGGGTTTTACTGTAGAATAAAATCCGACGAGTGCATAGATTCAATTAACTAATAAAGAAGGATAGGTTATATTATATGCACTTATGCCTTTATGCAAACGTATGTTAAGACCTTTAAGTACTGAATAAAACTGATAATTATTTGAAGCTGTGGCTCGCACTGGCCCACGGTTACTTTTAGTTATTTATAACCTAAGACACCGGTGTCCGGTATAGTAATAAAATAATTAATGAGGAAACAACTCATAAGCTGAGGCAGGGTGCGCTAATAGACCGCGTGGTTAAGATCTGTAATATACAGGATTAAAGGCGCGTGATTACAGTGATAACTGTTGATTGACCCTTCCAGATCGTAGAGGTCTGCAACACATGCTCGCTTTCAACATGCATCGTTTTTATCTCTCTATGACTATAATAATAAAGTAATAAATAATTTAAAGTCATGTCCGTAGCCCGCTCGTCGCACGTGCATTAATTATGAGTAATTAAACTTGCATGTTGTACCGTTGTAGCTTATTATTATATATTTTACCAAAACCCATAATTGGGTTGAGTGGACTGCTGCCAGTGTTCTTCTCGCAAACAAAAGGGAATGATATCAGTTGGAATAACGGTTCTCAAATGCAAAATGATACCGAGAATGAAATCGGTCGCTACAGCAGAGATAATTGAGAGAATTGTCTGAGAGGGAGAGATATCCGGCCGGATCCGGATTCAGCCGGATATCCGGTCGATTCCTAGTACGGTCTCTCTCGGGGGAACTAGAACAAAACTAGATAGTATATTAAATAAAATATTTTCAACACGGCTATTCATGTTTCCAGGTGACTACACGGACTTCTACTCGTCACGTAACCACGCTACTAATGTTGGAACTATGTTTAGAGGGAAAGACAACGCCCTGCAACCTAACTGGTAAGTTAATGGAAATGTTTAGATTTTAAACAATTAGTCAACATTTTGTTGAGTTTACATTTCGGGTTTACCCCCAGAAAATGTCCCCGTTAAAGATACCAAACCAAGATGTGAATACTTTTCAAAACACGGCTGCAAATCATAACTTTTTTAAAATACTGTTCTCACTTTCCAGGCTGCACCTGCCAGTAGGATATCACGGTCGAGCCTCCTCAGTGGTCCTCAGTGGAACTGAGATCAGACGACCTGCGGGACAAATCCTACCCTCGCCCAGTGAGTCACTCAAGCTCATGTTATCCTTCTAACACGTCATGCTGTGTATTATGTAATTGTCATGTTCAAAAATTATATTATACTGTAATACCTCTGTATATTGGGGAAGTGTTTTGGGAGTTTTAAAAAGAAACCGTTCAGTATTTAACATACACTCATAATATCAAACATTTTCAAGCTGCCACTACACCGGTGTTTGGAGCTTGTAGACTTTTGGACTTTGAGCTGGAAATGGGATTCTTTGTAGGACCTGGCAACAAATTTGGGGACGCTATAAAAATGGAAGACGTGAGTTGAAGCCTCTTTTTAATGATTGGGTTCACTGTTAGTGTCAATAGATATGTCAGTCGATCAGTTTTGAATTTTTATAATTGAGAAACCAGACTATAATTTAATATATTATATTGATTATTTTAATTTAATTTCAGGCTGCTGATCAAATATTCGGAATGGTTCTGATGAACGACTGGAGTGGTTAGTATTTTAATTTCGATTTAACAACGCCTTTGTTTCAAGATGCACCCTTCACAAATCTGTGTTATTAATTATAATAACTAACTCCGGCAACCTGGATAATAACCTCATTTTACATCCTAATTCCTAACCTTTGTTAATTTTATTGATCTTCAATGATTTAAACTCTGATTCTTACTAACACCTCTCTCTCTCCCTGCAGCTCGTGATATCCAGAAGTGGGAATATGTTCCGTTAGGTCCCTTCAATGGTAAGAACTTTGGAACGACCATCTCACCTTGGGTGGTAACCATGGATGCGCTTGCTCCATTCCGGCTTCCACTGGAACCTAAGGTTAGTTATCTTCTCCACATGTTATCCTCAGTATTTTTGGAAATAACTCTCTGACTGGATATTGCCACTATTATACCTGTCTCTATACGACATGATTCCAACTGAACCAGTGTTCACCAAAAGGCTCCACTGTTTAGGCTTACCAGTTACCAACATCTCCCCATATTTTAGTTAATCAGGCACTAATAATCACTGTCATTATCTGCAGACTGATCCAGAACCACTGCCTTATTTGGTCGAGAAGGATAGTTACCAGTTTGACATTAAACTCTTCACTGCGATTCAAGGAGAAAATATGAACAAATCAGAGGTCAGCTCTTTAGAATTTCAGCAACTTCAAGAGGCTTATTAAAAAAATTTTATATACAACTTTTTTCTGGTATTCAGCAAAATGTACGTGAACTTTGTTAATTAACAAATCTTTATTGTTCCACTTCATGTTCCTCGGTCATTTATCAGAATTTTGTTGTCGTAAAACAAATTGTTATATTATTTACTACAATTGCAAGAAGACATCCAACAAACATCTATATCTCACATTACAGATTGTGGCGTCAAGTAACTTCAAGTACATGTACTGGAGCCCTCGTCAACAACTGGTGCACCACAGTGTTACTGGGTGTAACATGAGACCTGGAGATCTGCTTGGATCTGGTACTATCTCCGGCACCGTGAGTTATTACTGTTACACTGTCACGTGTCAAAACACATTCCTGTCACGTGTCAAAACAAACGGTCATTGCTTGTTAAACGTGCGTGTTTTATATTTATGCTGTCTTAAGTCTTTGCACGTCGAAATATTTGTATCCTGATAGTAGGTATGTTAATCGTGAGGTGGTGAGCGGCCAATAAATGTATCTAGAATATATCTTTACATATTCATTGCTTTAGTTTTAGTAAATTATATGTATGCTTATTGTCCCTAACTATATCTCGGCTTAAGAAGGAGTCGTTATCCCAATTGTAGTAACCACTAATGATGCAGATGGCTTGAAGTCAATTATTAATCTATTAAATAACAAATATGAAATTTCTTGCCCTTTTCGCCTTTATATCGACCACAACTCTAAAAATAGACACTTTATCACAATGCTGGCAAGCATGACCGTGCCTTTTATATTCACAATACTATTTACCCCCTTTACTATTATACCCCCTTTACATTACTATTATATTATACCCCTTTATTGTTTTTCAGGCATTAAGACTCATCGAAAGTAGTTCAGCAGGTATATTTAAGTTCAAAACATTCTAATTCAATGTCAAAGATGACAGGAATAAGAAATAGTTATGTGGAGGTTTTTTAAGAAATTTGCGCAAAATTCGCGCCAGCATGTTATACGAAATTCGGTAAAAAACCGAAAATTGCCATATTCAGGTGCCTTAAAAACCATGTCAAAATTGAGTTAGAGATGTGAAACTTTGCAGGGCGTCTAGACGTTGACCAAATCGACTACAAAAAAAGTTTCAAGTTTCAGGAGCATTGGGAAGTGGGTTTTCTAGAACCCCTGTTTTACGACAGATTGTCGTGATATATACATACATATTCAGGGATAGACGCTTTGACAGTCAAATGTAGTCAATTGTATCCTAAATTTAAGTGTCCATAGATTCAAAAGTATAAAAGATACAGCCATTTCCGACCACAGGTCTTGAAAATAATTGTTTACACTTTAGTTTACATTGTATAAACAAATTATTTGACGTCATAAACACCCCTTGATGACGTCATCAAGTTAACCGTTTTTAAAACTTGATTTTCGACAAAGTAATAACTTTTAAAATTGATTAAACACGATTTAAAAGTAATTTTTTTCAACATCTGAGGAAATTTTATCTTAGATAATTGTTCAAGCATTCTGAAAATCTACCGGAAAGTTTTCTTATCTTACTCCTTCATAAAGATATTTGCCTTTGAAGTTAGTGCTTTTTTGAAAAATTATTTTATAAAAACGTCAATTTTGCGATTTAGTATTCTCTGGTGTTGGGCTATCTCTTGGGTTGTGGAGCTCAGTTCTGCTTCCTATAGGTATAAATTGTGCATTAGGCTAGTTTTAAAGTTGAAAATAAAAAAGTTGCACACGTGGGGACACGCCCAAATTGATAGAAAATTGCTAAAATCACTGAAAATTGGTGTTTTCACGATTTTTATCAACTTTGGAGTCCCGTTGTGATCCAAGTTCTATTTGAAATCTTTTGAAACTTTGCACGTTTATCAAACTATATATAAAATACCGCTGTGCAAAAATTTACGGCGATTCAGTATTGGATGCGCACGCAACGTCCGCTCAAAGTTTGCACGTGCGAACGGTGAGATTTTTGCTCATTCGTGATTTCGAACAAATTCTGCTTTACCACGACAGTTCAATGTCATTATATATGAATTTAATGGCAACTTGAATGATTATAATGTTTTATGTTCAGTCAGTGATATACCGATATGCTTACTTAAACACAAGGAAATGTTTTAAAGGAAAAATTTCGAAATCGTTGAAACTTCCTCCTTATTAATGAAGACATCAGTTTATATTTCGACTTTATAAAGTACCCTGACATTATAATCAAAAAAAGATGATATTTGACCAAAACCCATAATCATGGGTAGAGTGGACCGCTGCCAGTGTCTCTCTTTCCCAAACAAAAGGAAATGATATTAATTTGATTGACCGTTCTCAAATGCAAAATGATACCGAGAATGAAATCGGTCGCTCGCTTTTCCCATTAATTTACAATTGTAATAGATTAAGAAAAACTACCCGAAGGCAGCTGTACTCAGCAATAAAGATTCAATAAACTTCAGCTAATTCACTAACTACCAGTACCACCCTTATCCCGATATACTAGGTATATCGACCCGAACGCAACCCAAAGGAATTTTTACAGCATGTGATTGATTGTAAGCCGTGAATAAATGGGAAAAGCGAGCGACCGATTTCATTCTCGGTATCATTTTGCATTTGAGAACGGTCAATCAAATTAATATCATTTCCTTTTGTTTGGGAAAGAGAGACACTGGCAGCGGTCCACTCTACCCATGATTATGGGTTTTGGTCAAATATATTGCTTCAAAAGGTGCATTATATAGATATGGCCATTGCGAAAGTCAAACCTTCATTCCATCAAACCATCATTCGCCTATATAATTTGACTATTGCAGTCATTTTTCACCCCCTATTGAGTTCCTGGGTGCCTTCTTAATGGCAGAAATGAGTTTTAAAAGCTTGTTCTTAGGCGCCTGGAGAAAATATGGCCTAGCTAGATCTGCTTCGCCCATTAGATGTACCTCTACAAGTCTTTGGTGTGGTGCCTTGGACTATGGACAACACATTCCTGCACAGAAAAGCTTGTCGAAAATTAGTTCCCAGAAAAATTCATAATGCCCTAATAATAGTCTTTGTATATATTACGTATCATTTTCCTAATATTAATAATTATTAGCTTATCATATGTAAATGCGTCGTCTCACATCAGGAACCTCACGAATATGGCTCTATGTTAGAGTTGTGTTGGAAAGGAACTAAAGAAGTAAAACTTGGAGACTCTGGAGAAATCAGAAAATTCCTCAAGGTATGAAAACAACGCTCATCGTACATTTAACTTGTTATGTATAATTTTGATCCGAACGTTGTAGGTCGAAAGCAGGGAAGATTCTGGAACTTGCGGCAGCCGCACACGCCAAACATTATTAATGTGTTCATTGGCACTCGCCACGTTAGTTGATATTAACGCGCGTACTGATTCGAATAAACCATATTCTAACGGCGCGCGGCGGGAATAACAAGCTAGCTAAGGTGTGACAGTACGTGTGAATTCAAGCAGTGGCCAGTGCTCACGGCTCACTGGATTGAAATTTGTATATCTGTGGCACAAGACGGTGGTCGGGTTGCAACACTCTTTTAAGCTCTATAAACTTGTAGTGTGATATGGTTCGTGGAACCTTAGAGGCAGGGGTGTAGGAATGACTACACCCCTGCTGAGAGGACTCTACTTCCTTGCGAGACGCTGCTCTCATATATTTTATTCTAATACTAAGTCTGGCTGTCATCGCTGTTCACAAGTATCACGTCTCTTTTCTCAACCATATAATCAAACACGTGCTGAGTAACCACAGCGGTAGCCTCTTGGATAAACTTGCCGGAGAAAGTGTCCCTAAATTCAAAGTTGCTGTTGAAAATTGTTATCGAAAGAACGATATGTGTACACAACAGGCCAACAATAAACTGCACTTCGCTGGCATTTCGCCATTCTCCAGGGGATTGAGTTATTTTCTGTTCCCACGAGCACTAACATTGAAACCGCACTAGCTCATTAGTTTCAATGGTAATTTATGATATATCTGCGAGGATTGAGGGGGTGTAAAATTCCTTGCTTAATCGATTTATCAGTAATAAAGTTAACATTGATGAAATTAATCCTGGGAATGGGTAAATTCCCTATGTGCTCTACTAATAAGGATTAGACTAGAATAATTGTAGAACTGTAGACCGTAGAGTGATTCATTATCATGGTATCGACATAATGTATGATTGACACATAATCCTCCGTTCAATCCCACTACTGACTTCTCTTTTTTAGCTTTCCTCAACTTTGCAAAAAATCAACTTCCACTCATTGACTCATTAACCAGCTGCTTATTTCATGGGTAACCTGGTAACCTGGTAACCACTAAACTTGTAACCTGGTAACCTTCTTGCCTCAAACCTTAACCTGGTAACCTTGTTTCAAGAGCAATTCTAACTGCACATGACACATCCACATTTTTTGCCTACAAACTGATATGAATCCTATATGTAAAAAATGTTATACTGCCTGCCCACTAAACTTTTCTCAAGGTATGACTTATTTCACTGACACTACCCCTTATTTCAGGATGGAGATGATGTGATAATGACAGGGTACGCACAAGGTATGGGCTATAGAGTAGGATTCGGGAATTGTACCGGTAAAGTCCTTCCTGCTAACCAACTTTGATAGGAGTTAGGACAATTCTAGTATTTTATTATTTTAGTATAACGGAACGGAATATTATTTATTATTAGTACATTTTATGTTTTATTGTGGCTGTATTATAATTTATTTTTGCTTTTGAATATCTATATATCCACTTCTATCCTTTTGTTCAACGTTCAGTCGATAATATAAGGTAACACGACATCTGTCCGACAAATATGTCCTATTTTAGGCAGACAATATTCAGTAGAATTACTAATCAATCACTCCGTTTGGATAAATTTCAAAATGTACAATGAAAAATGAACTATATATAACAACATATCATACATTATTGGTAATCAATAAAATAGATTATATCTTAGGCTGTGCTAGCCCTTACGATTGTAGAGATCTCGTTACAATCTCGTCAGATATACCACCTCAAACATTAGACAAAATGTATGCACAATGTCAGATTAAGAGCATGTTTTCATGCTAACATTAGTTAATACTATGGTACACATTTGGAAATTGAAAGAGTCATAAAAATCTACATCAAGGAACGGAAAATAATTGGCTAAATTCGCCGTACAAAAATCCTTAAATTTGGTACAATATGGTAAATATGTTGAGCTTTTTGTCGATCATGGGAATCATTATCAGTTGGATTAGCTTCTTGACACTACAGCATTATCACAATATCACAGTCAGCATTCCAAAATAGGTCTGATTATCACGCAGATCGTAGAATTTATAAAAGTTTCAACAAACGATTAATTACTTGAGACTGTCTCTCCTTAGCAAGACTATATCTCCCTTATCTTCATCATGCTGTTTTTTCAGCATAATTTTCATACAAACGAAACTTGTTTTCCATTTTAAAGTTCTAAACCTCCACTATTTACCGTGCTTTAGTTTCATATCTGAGACCCAAAAAAGTAGAACATCACTACTGCTAAACATACTGCTCTCTGGACACGAACAAATCTACATTCAAATTCTAGTGTTACAAACTAGATATTTCTAGTGTTACAAACTAGATAGACAGTACCGAAATCATTAAATTCATTATAATCTAGTTGGTAGTTTAAGACTAAATATCTTATCGGCTGAAACTCCAACGTCCCGAAATAACCGCCAAAATATTCACTCGAATATGGTGGAATTAGGACTGTTGGCATTGAGGCTGATAAGATATAATCTATCTACTGCTAATAAAGAACACAATCTCTGACAGGTTAGCCTCATAGAGGCTGATAAACAGGTTTTATGGAGGCACCAGATCTAAAATCATTGAAGAAGGAATCTAAGAAGAGTCATGGTAAGGATTAGACCGAATGATGACATTACACTGCTACTAGCATTATCGTATCCGGTTGAGTTGATGCCGATTACTCCACAAGCTAGACGGGAGCCAGCGTTGCCCGTTTTGGTGCTGCCCAAATCACCTCCCAACCCTAAATCGTCCGTTCCTGCGTGTAGTACCACTCCTCGGCCTATAGCGAGAAGGATGTGTTATTCCTTAAAATACTAAAGAAAGCTTTGACTTGTCAACTGAGACGGTAATAGATTGAGTCTGATAGGGAGCTCCTTAGTTATACTAATTACACTTTAAAGTAGACGAGTGAAATTTTGTAAAACCTGATCCTTGCATACCTATAATAGTGTACTGTCCGTAGAGAGAGGCTTCTTGGTCAGCAATCTCCCCAGAGAAAGCATTGTTCTGAATTTCTATGTTCCCAAAGTCGCCCTTGTGTCGGATGGAACTATCTGGGCCACCGTGAGCTAGTTCTAGCGGGTTGAAATGTCCGAGAGTTTGTGTACACCCTCCGTACACGTTACCTGTACATAGTGAGTTTGTTAGTGAAGTTTTGAAGAGCGAGAGAAATTGAGAGTTGTAGCCAATCATGTAGTCGGTTGTTGGAAACGAAGCGTGGGTTAAAAACTTAAGTTTCAGCTATTCTCATATTGACCAAATAGGGAGATACTCGGCACTTGTAAGACAGAATAGGAGCCATCTATTGGCAAGAAATTGTGAAAAAGAAAACAGAACCTACCCATTTGATGGATGTGGAAGCCGTGTTGTCCATCATCAAATTTAGAGTTGCTGAACAAATTGATATTCACCATGAGCTTAGCTTCAGGACCTGCTTGGGAGAACTCAACAATACCGACCATCTTGAGACTTGCAGTTGCGTCCTTCTTGTCCGAATTTTCGTAGAGAACGGACATAGCCTTGCGTTCCTCTGGGTCTTTAGCTTGACACGTGCATAGCACCAATACTGTGATTAAAAATCTCATCTCTATTGAGGATTGTGACTGGTTAGTAATTGTTATTATAATGAGTTATGATAATACCTTTATGGGACCGTTCACACATTATTTCTGCAGGATTTTACTGTTTTCCTACCGATATTACCGTTCACTATTGTGCAAATAATTTATTTGCGTCAGCATTTCGGTATATTTCAAAAACTCCTCCCCTAGCTTGCTTATGTAATATGTGAACCTTCCTTTGAATGTGAGCTAATAACAAATACATAATTCGCGAGAATTACTGCATTATCATAACTGGTAAAAAGTGATCAAATTAAGCCCACTTAGCACCAAAGTGGTGTCAAATAATTCCATTTATTTGCCCTCTAATTTCAATTAAAATACCAGAGCATTCACCCGGTATTGTGTGATATACCACGAAACGTTACGATATATAGTTGCTTACAACGTTGTTTAGCAGGGCTCGAGACCTGCATCAAGGCTCGACTGAGGACCTGTAATACAGTGTGGTATGTGTTTTCTCAAGGTGAAATAGCCCGAAAGTGTGCAGAGAATATTTTTTCAATAAAATTTTCTCGATTAATATCGACTGCTTCCACTCCCAAGTTATGAGTGCCGCAGGACAAGGAAAAAGGCCCGGGCTATTTCAAGGGGTAGCATTTTCGCACAAAGCGTATGAGCGGGACGAAGCAACGGTTGACCACAGCCTGTGAGACGCCTTCTTTTTGGAGGGAGTGCATGTAAATGGGGACTGAGGAGTAGACATTTGTAATTAGAGCTGGCCGGGTAGCGGGCCCTCTTACTAAAGCTCTAAAGGAGCACAACTTCATGGGTTGCTCCTTGGGTTGATGATACCTGACGTTTAGTGGAATATGTAAGAAGAGAATTAACGCAAAATAGAGCTGATTACTCCTTCATTAACTAATCTACAGATGTTTAAAACTGTACTAATGTATTATACTAAAATATTATTATATCATGAACACCCTGTACTACATTGTGTATTAAAGTCAACGTATCTGCGGGAAGTAAAGCAATACAGGCTAGCAGAGAACACGTTACGGAAACCTTAGACTTGCATCTGTAAAATTAGCTTTTCCGTCGCAATAAAATGGGGGAGTTTTACAGAGGAGCACGTTTTGTTAACCTCATATCTACGGTTTTTCGTATGATAAGTCTTAGATACACTAAACTAAAATAATCTTGCTCAGTGCTCACCAATCGAACTCATGAAAACAACAATATCATCAATATTCACAAGTATAATGTCGTTACTATAAGTTCAATCCAATGTCCTACATGTATCCTGGATACTCAATAATGTAATTACTGAATGTTTCAATCCGTTTTTATCAGAAGGAGAGACAGAAATTGAGATCAGTCTGAATTTTAGTTTTCAAAACACTTCTTCAGAAATTGAGGTCGATGTGTAATGGGAACTTTTACAAAACTACTTCAAAATTTTCAAGACACTTCTCACTGTTCAGTAACTAGAATGTCTTCCGCTCAGTGAAAATAACAATACTTACAATTACAAACTTATTTTACTTTACAATTACACGATGCAGTACTATTATATAACAGAATTCAATCGGACACATTGACAAAAGTAAGCAGAATTAGACAAGCATTTAACACAACTGTTACAACTTACTGTTTTGACACATGGTATATTACCTAACATGTAACTGAATTGTGTGAAACACCCCGATTATATCGTATTTAACAGACGACTGGACAAAATAAAGTAAAGATAAAGTTGAAGCAATTTAAACAGGACAGTATTAAAAAGCTGTCAGATTAAACGAGTTATGATAATTGAGAAACAAAGCGCCGTAAACTGCAACAAATAAGTCTCAGTCTGATTGATCAGTTAAATTGTAACTGTAAAAAATATGATCACAACACTAAACTGATCTTGTACCGAAAATGAACCTTTCTGGCGGAACAGATCGTTTGAGCAATGATGGGATTACATGAAACTTGATTACTGTTTTGAAGGGGCAGCCGCACAGCTAGTTAATCTTAAATGGTGCCCACGAAAATTCCGCGGGCCTCAATTACTCCTTCAGTGTTTCTTTACTGACAGAAATGTCAGTTCTAAGAGCAGGAATAGTTTATCCTAGCGCTCACCTTCGTCACAGTAACAATTCAACATGACTACGAAACAAAATGCATGACAAGTAACGAAGCTCCTAACTCCTCGTAAAGTGACCTTAATCCAATTCCCGCTCCCCCTGGTAATGGAAGCCTCTGGAACATGTTCGGTTGTCCTGGCTGAGAATAGATAGGACTCTAACTGACTGAGCCGACATTAAAAGTTACTGATTACCAAGTGTTTATTACGTCAATCCATGATGTGATATTACGTCAAAGGTGGGTTCCTTCCTCACGTTCACATGTGCTATAATGGAAACACGAGAAGGAGAGTGCGTATCACTATCGGCCCGACACATTCATTAGGGTTACTTCTTAGTCAACGGAAATTTAATCTTTACATTGATTAGGGGGGGGGGGGCAATTATTTTACTATCGTGAGACTTTAAACGCTATAGATACTAATAAATGCTCATCAACTTTAACTTTAAGTTGTTTAGCGATACATTATTCTGACTAACTGAAAACTAATCCTACAACGCGGAGAATGGTATCCTGTAAAACTGTGATCTGTCAATACAACCCAGACATTGGTCGAGTCAAGAAAGTGTGGTTAAATTCACAGGGCGAGTTCTAGGTAGACAGCAGGAAGGGTCGTATCCAGACACATCAGTTGGTAGACTAGTGAACTTGTTCCTGCAGACAGCAAGGTTAGGTTACCTTTGTGTGAGAGGTACGTGTGAAGCTGGCCAAACGACTATATAGCTTATCACACTGTTCATCACTAAATAGAGGTTAACATCAACACTTAAAAGGTTAAACTAGGTGATTGGATAGAACGATAAACTAAATGCATGCTTTTAAAGCTGGCTTATCTGATGTTTGAATTCCGTAGTAGTGGTACACAATAAATAATAATCACTGTTGCTACGAGCAGATATATCGCAGGGCACGACTAGAAAATAATAATTACAACGTGTAGGTATTAAATGAACGTGTATTAAATGAACGTGTATTAAATGGGGGGTCTATTTTTGAGAGTCCCGACGAAAATGCCAAATTCTCATTCCACATTCTCAAAAATTATTTTTGAGTATTTTTGAGTAACGTTTCCAGGAGAGGCGAAAACTCATTTTCAAAAATTGATTTTGAGTATTTCTGGACCACATTGCACTGATAAGAAGAATAATTAGGTATATCATTATTTTTGATTGGAAAATTTTTAAGAAAATGAGAGATCCATGCTGAATTTCTCAGATTCAAAAATAATTTTTGAGACATTTTTGAGAAGATGAGAAATCCATGCTGATTTCTCAGATTCAAAAAAGATTTTTGAGTGGACAATTTTTGAGAAAATGAGAAATTCATGCTGAATTTCTCAGATTCAAAAATGATTTTTGAGACATTTTTGAGAAAATGAGAAATCCATGCTGAATTTCTCAGATTCAAAAATAATTTTTGAGACATTTTTGAATATTCCCGGCGAAAATGGTCAAATTCTCAGATTCAAAAATCCCCCCCCCCCCCCCTGTAGTTTTAATAGCTTATGAATATTGAATAAATTACGTCAATCAAATATACTAGTCAAAGATACAAAAGCGTATTTGAATTCTCGAACAATCGGTCACAAAAGATATCACGAATATTATAATACAAATACGTCAGCGTCCTATTTAATTAACATTTCTACAGTTGCTGAGTTGACATCTGGTAAAATACCTAGTTAATTAAACCTGTTAAATACACCATGTGCTAATGTGTTATGCTTTTTACAAGGTATCTCCTTTTGTATTTAGACGAAACTAAGTTAGCGCAAAACTTAACAAAATATACCAACTCTAATTTGCTTTCTAATCGAGTTTAGTTACATGCATATCGTGAGAAAGAGACAGACTTTTTCATAGAGGACAAACGAATGAAACAGTCTGAAATACGAATCTGTACGATTAGTACTACAGAAAAAGCGGAATTCTTGTTAACATTTATTTGCCGGGAATGTAAGGTATATTTCAATTTGTTAGTGGAGAAGATTACGGAAGGGGTCAGCAATTTTTATAGACGTGAATCTTGGGATTAAATTGTCTTATTATGAGTAATCAGGCCGAAGTTAGACGAACCGTACATGCCAAAGGTCCCACGGCCTTGGAACTAATTTGATCCACGATATATCACACAGTCCAGGAAAATAATGATAGATAACGGCCAGCTCCTGAGTTGATTTCGGTAATTAAGCTGATTGCGGGGAAATTCTGCCTGAAGAATTTCGGGAACGGGGAATCGAATTGGTCTTTATTGTGTGGTATTTCTATATTTGGCTTATTTGTAGCAAGACGGGGAGGTCAGGGGTATTATAGTAGTAGAAGTAGTACAAAAGGTAAAATAAGCCCGTTAAGGATATCACAATTCTCACTGTAACTGCAAGTGTAGAGTGTATTTTATATCTGTAAGAAGGACCTGCAGGCTATGAGGGAGCTGGATAATTTGCTAGGAGGGATACAGATTGTCTCATCGAATCAAACAAAATTGAGCTTGTTGGGAAAAACGGGTCTGGCCAAGGTAAATTTTCTATCAAAGGTGTTCCTAAAAATATGGAATGATAAACAATTGTCAATTCATCATCATGAATTGTCTAGTCAGTTTAGCAAAGACAGAAGCACAGATCTGTAGAAATAGAATACTCAACTCTCAAGCTATCTCTAAACTAGTAGGATCAGTAAACCAATTATAATGAAGTCGTAGCCTTGTCTATCCAAAATACCGTAAATGAGAAAGTACATCATTATGTATCTTACAAATTTACATATATTTTGTGTTCTTCATAAATTATGTACGCAAGCTGTAGCTTAGGAGCATGGCATCAGTTTTAAACTTCTGTTTAACTACTGAATATACCCACTAATGAGCATGTTATAGTCATTTACAGTG